GGTCTGGACTCAGTTGGTCTGGACTCGGGCGGACCTGTTGAACCTGTTGGTCTGGACTCGGGCGGACCTGGTGGACTTGTTGGTCTGGACTCGGGCGGACCTGGTGGACTTGTTGGTCTGGGCTCGGGCGGACCTGGTGGTCAGGACCGGGGGGGGACACCTGGTGGTCTGGACTCGGTGGATGTTAATTCCAGAGTTTTAAGGAGCTGTGATGATTCTTCCAGGTTGATCTGCTAACGGAGCCTTTCTGATGCGTTAATGATGGATCCACCATCTTTATTCTCCATCAGCTGCGTCCAGGCTAACCCCCCCCCCCCCCCACAGTGACCTGTACCACGTTCTACTGACTTTAGACCCAGACTAAGTGTGTAAAGTGGTGACCAGGACCGGTTCTGAAGGTTCTGACCGTGCTTCTGTGTTCTACCATCCAGGACCTGCAGCAGTAGACCTGCTCCTCCCTACTAAACCGTCTGTTGTTGTATCAGGCTAAAGCGGCGCCAGCCGTTGCCCGGACGACAGAGAGCGACTCCGACAGCGGAATGGGATCTCCAGCTGAGGAGGGGGTCACCCCCACCATGGAGGAGCAGAGGGACAGCCTTCCAGGTACCTGCAGCCAGCGGAGCAAAGGTCACAGCAGCTTCCTGCTGCCACTGATGGTTACACCGCCATCTTGGATTTAGTCATCGGGATGAAAACTATTATTTGAGTCTAATTTTAGTCATTAAGTTTTCTGATAGTTTGATGTTGCTCTTCATAAAACGGTTAACCTTTATAACCAGATTCTTTACCAGACTGGCAGCTCTGGTCTAGATACTAATGCTGGGTTTAGACTTGGACAACTTTTATCCTCGTTTTGCATACAGTGAGTAAAAAACAAACATTTAATTTCATAGAGCTCTCGTGACATTTCCAAAGTGCAGCAGTGATCAGATGTAAACATTGGGAGAAAAAAACATGGCGGAAAAACTGATTGATGTGGTCGGTGTGATGCGGAGTCTCATCAGGTCAGCAGTCTGATGGCGGCGGGGAAGAAGCTGCTGCAGAACCTGCTGGTCCTGCATGGAATGCTGGGAAGCCTCTTCCCAGAGGGCAGCAGGGAGAACAGTCCATGGTGGGAGGGGGGGGTGGGGGGTTCTGCAGCAGCTTCTTCCCCGCCGCCATCAGTCTGATGAACTGTTGAGACTCTAAATCATGTCCCAGACTCTGCATCACACTGATGACACCTAACCAAAACAATAATGGCGTCGCCCGTTGGCGGCGGCATGATTGTGTGTTTCTCGACAGTTATACAAAATATGGCGCGTAAAACACTACAAACCAAACATCGATCCCACATCCTCCTACAAACAGGATGGAAAAGTCTAAATACTTTTAGGGCTTTCAGTGAAGCAGCTGAAAGAAGAATATTTAGAAACCTGTTGATTGAAAGCGTTAAAAACTGAACGTCTCCTTCGTTAGTGAAGCAGCAGTGATGCAGAGGAGGCGCTCCCTGTCTCCTCCTGCCACCGGCGCCTGGAGCTGCATCCTGATTAGTGTTCTCACGATACTAAACTTTTCAACTCGATACCGATACTAAGTAAAATATTCGATACTCGATACCCTTTTCGATACCACAAGAATAAAAACAAAGACTCTGAAATTCAACAGAAATATTTTCATTAATAAAAAAATACAAGAAATAAATAAAAAACAATAAGAATAATATTTTGAGGTTGTATGCTGTGCACAATATTAAGCAAGTTTGATATTAAGCAAGTTTATTTTCACTATTCTGCACTTTAGATGGCTGTATCGATACTTTTGAAAATGAGTATTGTATCCGGATACAACGTTTCAGTATCGATACTTTTTTGAGTATCGATACTTTTGACAACCCTAATCCTGATTGGTTCGATTCTAAACCGGGTTTGTTTCTCAGATTCAGAGGAAGACGAGGACATCACGGCTCACAGGAAGCCGCGGCGTAACGCCATCAGAGACAGCGACAGCGAGGAAGAAGCAGTGGAGAAGGGTGTGGCCGAGGCCCCGGGGTCCCCTGCTTCCAGCGGAGAGGAAGAGGAGGGCAGGAGGGATGGAGCGCAGCGGAGCAGGAGGATCACCTGCTCTCCTGAGGAGGAGGAGGAGGCTGTGACGGCGAGGAGGAGGGAGAAGAGTCAGAGAAACCGTGAGAAGAGGAGGAAACGTAGCAAAGCAGTGGAAGAGCTGAAGAAGAAGAAGAAGAAGAGGAAGGGAGCGGAGAGGAGCTCTGAGGAAGAGGAGGTGAGTCCTTCATCCTGAACGTCTCACACTTTAGACCAACGGATCACCTCACAGCTCCTGTCTTCAGGGAGGAGCTCAGCCTCCGCTTCTGAACGACAGCGGCTGCCTGCTGGGAGACCCAGACCTGTTTGACGCCGGCCTGGATGATGAAGACGAGGAGGAGGAGGAGTCTCTGGACGCCATCCGAGCTGCGGCCAAACGGAAGCTGAAAAAACTGGAGGTAAAAAGCAAGCGGAGATGAAAACGATCCAGGAAACGCGGTTCGGTCCTGAAAAGGTTCCTCTGGGTCTGTCTCACCTGCAGGCTCCGCCCCTGGATGAAGACGAGGATGAGGAGGCTTCAGAGAAGCCTCAGCGTCAGGTAGGCGGCGCCAAAGCTCCAAACGTCCTGAGAAATGAAAAGTTAGACCCTCCTGACATGGTTTCCCCTCCAGGAGAGGAGAGCCGCCCGCGCCAGCAGGGACGCCATGAAGCAGCTACACAGCGAGTCTCAGAGGCTGGTCCGCGGTGCGTACCGCCATCATCATCATCATCATCATCATCCGGTGAGTGGTCTGATGTCCAGGACGCTCACCCTGTTCTCCTCCTCAGAGTCCACCCTGGGTCTGCCGTACCACATCCCCCAACCCAAGACCATCGAGCAGTTCTTCAGGAGGAGGGCCCGGCCCCAGGGCCCCGCCATGGCCTTGCTCAAGTAAGCTCCTCCTGCCGGGTTAACGTTCCTCTAACCTGCCGCTTAATGTTACACACCTGATGAATCCACGCTTCTCCTCCTTTATGAAGGAAAAACAACAAATGGTTACAGAAATACCTAGAAATAATGATATAGATTGAAACTCGGCGTTGCTTCTCAGCCGAGCTTCAACAGAACGAAAACAGACCTGAGGCCGACGGCGGCGGTTTGCTCCCCATCAGGATCCTCAGCAGCACGCAGACAGAACATTGATTATAGAAAACATCGAGCCCATTAGATCATGATGGTTTCCATAGAAACGGCTCAACATAATCTGACCACAGGGATCAGGTGTGTCCGCCAATGGTCTAGTTGGGTCTATAAATAGTGGTCGTTTCTCTCAGCAAAATAACTTGTTTAGGCTTTTTTCTAATGTTGTAAAGAACAAAATGAGCAATAAAAGTATTTAATATCTTTGCTCTTATCGGGTCGATATTAGTTTGGCATTTAAAGTGGAATCCCTTATTTTAATCGATCTGTTAATTAACTTTTCTAATCTGATCTCTAATTGAACCGCTTCACATCCCCATTAGACCAGCAGCTAAATCAGATGCAGTGACCCCTCCTGACCTGAGGAGGGCGCCAAACAGGCGTTGGACAGTAAAGCAGGATTTCAGTAAATGTGCATAAATGCTAAAATAATGACGGTGGTTCTTTAGGAACCTCCAGCCCTCTAGGTGGCGCTAATGCTGAAAACCCTGAAGCCAAACATGTGGCGGCTGAGGTTGGTCAGGAAATGGGTCGGTTCTGCTCCTTGGTTCTGCTGGTTCTGCCGCCGCGTTCCTCCGGGTCTGGCTGATGATGATGATGATGATGGTCTTCCTCTCAGGTCTTCCAGATACTCAGAACTTATGCTGGAGGCGCCGTCTGCTCCGCCCACTCAGCAGGAGGCCCCTCCTTCTCTGGATCTGTCGGCCAATCAGCTCCAGTCTGAACCTGCTGCCGCCTCGTCCCCGCAGCAGAACCTCCCTGCAGAAGCTGCACCAGAACCAGAACCAGAACCTGAGTCGGGTCCGATGCTGCTGCTCTCTGAGAGTCTGGAGGAGGCGCCGGGTGCCGGTTCTGAACCCTCAGATGTTCCTCTGGACCAGAACCTGAAGGCAGACGCATCTGAAGTCCAACCAGCAGAACCTCAGGCGGAGCCCGCTTTAGGCTCCGGACCAGAACCGTCCAAACCCAAGAAGGACAAGCTGACCCGACTGAAGGAGCTGGGTTTGGACCCGCCTCCCGTGGCCAAGCTGAGCCCGGATGACGGAGCGTTCGTTCGCCTCGAGCCGCCTCAGTCCAACCCAGGTAACGGCGGCGTGGCGCCCGGCTGGATCCGGAGCGGGTCGGTCCTGAACTCACAGGGTTCTGGTCTTTCTCAGGCGTGGAGGCCCTGAAGGAGCGCTACCTTCGCCACGTCCACGCCCCGGGTCGGCCCGCCGTGGAGCGGACCCTGCAGCTCACCGTGGTCCGTAAGGACGGCGCCCCCTCTGGCCGGGAGGAGCTGCACTCAGAGTCCATCTCCGTCACCGTGAAGGAGGGAGCGGAGGAGCCGCTTCCCACCAAACCAGGTCAGTGAGAGAACCAGAACCAGAACCGGCCCGGTTCTGCTGGTGGGTCGCTTCTAACGGGTCGCTCTCTGAAGGAGAGAAGCTGCTGACCCTGAAGCAGCGGCTGCAGCTCGCCATGGCCCAGCGCCGCCAGGAGGAGAGGGCCCGACGGGCCGAGCTTCATCGCCTCGACAACGAAGACTGTGAGGAAGAGGAGGAGGAGGAGGAAGATATGACGGACGAATCTGAGGAAGAGGTGAAAACATGGAGGTTCTGCTGGGGTTCTGCTCCTCCATCAGAACCTTTAACCGTCGTCTGGGTTTCAGGGAGTGGATGAGCTGCTGGGGAGGGAGGAGGAGGAGGAGGAGGAGGAGAAGGAGGAGGCGCAGAACCCGGACCCGGTGAACACAGACGGGACCCTGATGCTGTTCCCAGGCAGCTCCTGCTCCCGGACCGGGTGAGTTCCGCTTTCCTCTGGCGCCGACCGTTGCCGGGACGACGGCCCTAAAGATGTGCTGTTTTCCAGGGACGGCGTGAGGAGGTCTGGACCTGCTGGAACGGAGCTGAGCAGTAAGACGGGTGGGTGAGGAGCAGCAGGAGCAGCCTGAGGAGCGTAGAGGAGGTTCTGACTGTTTGTGTGTCTCCAGAGGAGGACGACTCGTTGGTGAAGGACGATCTGGCCGCCTCCATGATCACCTCCTACCAGCCCGTCAGCAGCCAGCGGGGGAGGGGCACCTCCTTCTGCTCCTTCCGTTCTCCTTCGCCCTGCTTCTTCCGGCCCACCTTCCTGGGTTCTGCCTCCAGGGTGAGTCGGGCGGGAGGTTCTGACCCGATCAGCGTTTCCGTCTGCGATCTTCTGACTTCTCTCCTCTGCTGTGACCCAGAGCTCCGGCAGACTGTCAGAGCGCTCCCTCTGCCTCCCCGTGGAGGACTCCCAGGACCTGTACGCCCCGCCCTCCCCCGGAGCCGACTCGGGCCCCCTGGGGGGAGCGGCGTCCGGCCCGGTTCTGGGGGGAGACTCCCAGGGTCGCTTCTCCCTGGAGGACGACGCCCAGTCCCAGCTGCTGGACGCAGATGGCTTCCTGAACGTGGGGCCGCGTCCTGGGGACGCCTCGTCCCACAAGAGACAGCTGGTCCTGGACAGCCTGGACGAGAACGCCATGGACGCCAACATGGGGGAGCTGCTGGGGTTCTGCTCCGGGGGCTTTGGCTCGGCGGAGGGCGGCGCCGACGAGCTGCTGGGTCTCTGCTCTGGAGCGTTTCCTCAGACTCAGGCGGAGAAAGGGGAGGAGTCTGAGGGCGCCATGGAGCAGCTGCTGGACCTGTGCTCCGGAAAGTTCCCCAGCCAAGGTGAGCGTTCCGACCCGGAATCCTTGATCCCAGATTCAGGAAGTTCAGCTGAGGAACGTCTGGTTCTGCTTCCAGGTTCTGCTCCTTCAGCTCCGCCTCCTGCTGACAGGTAAGAACCAGCACTGATCCCGCCTCCTCACAGGTTCCCCTGCTCCTCTAGAGACCAACCTTCTGCTCTTCATCACTTTCTGATCAGGGAGGAGGAGCAGGAGCAGGAGGAGGAGGAGCAGCAGCAGGAGGAGGAGGAGGAGGGGGAGGAGCAGCAGGAGGAGGAGGACTGCGAGTTTCATCTGCTGTCAGACGTGGAGAGCGAGCAGGTGAGACGGTTTCCTCTGACTTCCTGTTTGGTGCTTCCTGCTTCCTCTGAACCTGAAGCCTGATGAGCAGGAGGACGAAGGTGAGGATGATGATGGTGGTGAGGAGGAGGATGGAGCTGCTGATGAAGGTGAGGAGGAGGACAACGACGTGGAGGAGGAGGAGCTCCAGGGAGTGTTTCTCCCGCGCAGACCAGAGAAGAAGAAGAAGATGTGAGTTTAAACGTTGAGATCTTCAGGCGGTTCTGCTGGTTCTGCTGTAATCGGGTCGGGTCGATCCGCAGGGCGCTCAGGGACTACGTGGACTCGGAGGCGGAGCTTTCAGGAAGCGATGCGGACAGCGACGATGACGAGGGCGACGAAGGCAGCGAGTACGAGGAAGAGGAGCTGCTGGAGGAGCTTCCTTCAGATGAAGAGCTCCAGAACCAGGTCAACAAGATCCACATGTGAGTGAGACCAGAACCAGAACCTCAGCTGTTTGCTAGATGGACCGGGCCTCAGCGCCGTGTCCCGTCTCCACAGGAAGCAGCTTCTGGACGACGACAAGCGGCGCCTGAGGCTGTATCAGGACCGGTACCTGGCCGACGGCGACCTGCACTCAGACGGACCCGGAAGAGCCCGCCGGTTCCGCTGGAAGAACATCGGTGAGCCTCCCGAGGTTCTGGTTCTGATCCGCTGAAGGATCAGCCGGTTCTGATTCTGAGCCACCGAGAACCGGGTCCATCAGAACCTTCAGGCTCTGAAACCGACCGGTACCGGTTACTGCAGAACCCAGATCAAAGCAGGTTCTGCAGAACCGGGCCTCATGGTGACGGTTGGAGGACCCAGATTGGTGGTTCTGTCTCCAGAACCGGTCCAGAGCTTCTGTAATTCCATCTGGATCCACTGTGGAGGTCCAATGGGTGGTTCTGACTCTGGAACGGTTCTGTTGACTCTTCCAGACGACGGGTTCGGTGCGGACGGGTCGGGTCCAGACGGCGGCGAGGAGGGCGAGGAAGATGAGGATGTGGACCCGGCTGAGGTCCAGAGGAGGAAGGCCCGGTTGGAGAGGGAGCAGTGGCTCAGAGAGCAGGTAGGTTCTGACCCGCCACAGCAGAACCGGGCCCAGCGGGTCGTTAACGGAGCGCTTCTCCTCAGACGCAGCAGAAGGTCCAGAAAGGAGAAGATCTGGAAGCAGAAGACGCCGCAGACGAGGACAGCCGCTTCATGAAGCTGGCCAAGAAGCTGACGGCCAGAACCCTGGAGAGGAAAGGTGGGTCGGGTCGGGTCGGGTTCTGCAGGTTCTGTTCGTCACAGACTAACGCTTTGATCTGTTGAAAGCAGAACCTTCTCAGTCGGATCAGAGGAACCCCTTCCAGAACCTTCCTCAGGTGAGCTGCCCCCCCCTCCCACCTGCAGCCGGGTTCAGCGCCGGTTCTGACCTTCTGGTTCTGACCTTCTGGTTCTGACCTTCTGGTTCTGACCTGGTTCTGACCTTCTGGTTCTGACCTGGTTCTGACCTTCTGGTTCTGACCTGGTTCTGACCTTCTGGTTCTGATCCAGGTGCGGCGAGGTTCTCTGCTCAGTCAGCCGCCGGCGCTGCTACAGAAACTGGCCAACATCTCTGAGGGGAACCCGCTGGCGCCGCGCAGCACCAGAGGCTTCCTGTTCCACGCCGTCTCCCCAGAGAAGGTCCACACGGCGCCGGAACCCGCTCACAAGCAGGTGAGTCCGGTCGGCCCGGTCCAGAGGGAACCAGAACCTACCTGGGTCACCAGAGCGTCTTTGTTCCAACACTAGGGGGAGCTGTGGTTCTACAGAACCCGATACTGGGTTCACCTAAGGTTCTGGATGTGTTGGTCCTCAGGTGGCGAAGAAGAGGATCCAGGTGGAGGTGCAGAACCCGGCGGCCAAGAGGCCGTGCAGACGGAACCGCGACGCCGGACCCGCCCAGAACCCTCAGAGGAGCATCTTCAGCTTCCTGGACCACTGAGGCGCCGCCGAGGCCCAGATGGACCTTAACTGCCGAGGCCGCCGGGGCCCGGAACGGGCCCCCGGTCCGCCGGGGCCTGGAGCAGGGTCCCGGTCCGCCGGGGCCCCATGGACCTTATTCTCCGGGGCCTGGAGTGGGCCCCCGGTCCGCTGGGCCCCTGGTCGGCCGGGCCCTGAGCGGGTCCGCCGGGCTGGAGCGGGTCCGCAGGGGCCCCCGGGGCGAGTCCTGAATGTTTCCTGTAAATATTGTGATTCTGAGTCGGTTTGTTTTGTGTAAATAAAAGTGTATTTTAAGACGTGGTTCTGATCCGGTTTCTGGGTCATCTGGGTTTAGCAGAACCTGATCTTTTAATGGATCAGAACCTCTAGATGAGGGTCTGTGGTTCTGATCCAAACTGAAGCTGCTGGACATTTTCTGGAAGGTTCTAAACATTCCCAGGATGTGGAAAACACAGAATTCCCAACAACCGTGGGACCGCAGGAAGTTCCAGATGATGGTGGAACTTTCCGGGTCTCAGAACTTTCCGGGTCTCAGAACTTTCCGGGTCTCAGAACTTTCCGGGTCTCAGAACTTTCCGGGTCTCAGAACTTTCCCTCCATTAATGAAAATTCTTCACCAAATGTTTGGACCTTCAGAACTTCTCAGAAGAACCTGCAGCGGGACGGAGGAAGCTGATTGGCTGAACGTTCTGCTGCAGAGCATTTACTGAAATAATACGCCCTCATTTAATCTATAAAGACACTTTTAGTTTAATAGGAGTTTAATTTGAGATTATTCTGGGAACTGATTAGATCAAATAAATCCTGGATTATTTAATCCAGGATGAAGCTTCTTACTGGGCTGGAGGGAATAAAGTCTGACGGTCTGGATCTTGGCTTTGGTGCTGGAAGCGTCCCTGGTTGGTTCATGAGGAGGAGGAGTAGGGAGGCCATGGAGGAGTAGGGAGGCCAAGGAGGCCTGAGCCTCATTCTGACCCGTTAGAACACGTCTCAGCTGGAGGGTTTTTATTGCTTAATAAATTAGATTCCTTTGATGATTTTTCTGTTATTTTGTTCTCAGCAGATTGAAGTTTAAACAAAGAATTCAGTGAGAATATTTCATTGATTCAGATCCAGGATGAATTATTTTAATGTTTTTCTCAGCAGCAAATTTGCTCCAAATTATTAGACGGCATGAGATTAATTATGCTGATGATACCCAGCTATATCTGTCTATAATCCAGATGAAGCTAACCCATTATATAGA